GACAGAGAAGGACGAGCGAGCACTGCATGGGAACCTTTGTGGTCTTAAACGTAATCTCTTGTTTCCATGCTGGATATTGTGTAGTACAGATTGAAATGTTTTTTAGATTTTATTTTCGACGCCAAGAAAACAAATTCTACCCGGTTTATTTATTTAGGTGTTGGTTTATCTTGTACGTGTTTACAGTTCAACTCATTTTTAGAGACCGAATTAACAGGGAGTTTAACGAGAAGCGGGCGTATTAATTACTAGATAACGTCTCCTGGTAAAGTCTTGGCAGCCTTTTGAAGAATGAAGGAACGCGTAGGATGGAAGGTCTCTGAGGTCGCTTAACACACTCTTCCTGTGACCGGAAGTCGGGCATAAACAAACTTCGCTGTTTCTAATACGTCCTTTGATCAGGTTAGAGTAAATCAACCCACGTGCTTGTGTGGGTACTGGGATGCGGTAGGCATTTTTGTACGGTTCTTACATTAAGCGGTGGAATCTTGAGATCCGTCACTGCCAGTCTTAGTTGTTGCCAACTAAACAGAATTTTATTGCCTTCGTTTTTAGATTTCACTTTTATTTTTCTGTGTACTTGTTCGAGAGAAGAGAGTAAAATGAAGAATCTTGTGTGTATTTTAAGTTTCTTGTTCGTGGATGTAATTGTTCACGTTTACTTACGTAAACAGACGTAGTAAGCCATGTCGCAGACACACAAGTGAACACATTTGATTGATTAGCCGTCTTAATAACACAGCTGGTCTGTTTTTGACTGTTTTTAAGAATTCAGTCCGTACCGCAAAGAAAACAGGGCGTGTACATTGCAATACAGAAGTAATTAGTAATTTATGTCTGAGGGGGAAATAATTTAATCTGAGAATCGTAAGAAATATATTAATTCGCTGTAGGAAAAACGTTCAGGGTCACTGAAAGTTAAATAAGGTGGTATATATTGTTACCATTTGGCTTTGGAGTTAATGTTGATGTAATAACATTTTGTATTTCTACAACAAGACGCAGGCAATGTAGACAGTTTGGTTTATTTCTGTTTGTTCCAGCAGTAGACGGGCGGCTAGCGAGTTGCTATTTCACGATTTTTAACTACCATTCCTTTTCGCACTCCAAACCGAGAACCTAACCTAGTGTACTGAAACCTTGCAGGGAAGTATTTTTGGGACAGTAAATATTTGTTCAGCTGAAAAAAATTGAATTCTTAAATATTATTTAGACGATTTTGAAGCTAAAATACACTTATGCCATTGCTTCAATTCTAATCTGTCTGCCTTCCCAACTTATTGAACGTCGTACGTCATCCTTATTCCTCTAGACCAGTGGTTTTCAACCTGGGGTACACGCGACATCTTAGGGGGCACGTGAAATTTAAAAAAAAAATATATTTTATGATAAACACTGAATAATCAGTAATGTAATTTATTTAATTTATTTTAGATGTAGATTATATATTATGTATAACTTGAATTATACACCAACAACTTTGGGGGTACAAAGTTGGAAGAGAAATTATATCTGGGGGTACGCGAACCAAAAAGGTTGAATACCACTGCTCTAGAGGGACGAACGGGCACTGCCTGGGAACCTTTGTAGCAAAAATAAGTCTTTTTCCCCCCTCGTTAACAGTTGTATCTGTTACCACTCTCCCACATATTATTTTCTCCACTGTTTCATTGGTTCGGCTTCGATCCATTTTTATCAAATTTGAAGCGTGGTCTACCTAGATGTCATCTGGGGTTTGCGTTACACCAATTTTCAAAGTACGACGTTTTGCTCTTGAAGAGGGTGTGAAAAAGAGTGTATTTATGATTGTGGCTAATTTCCTCTGGCCATCTTCCCGTGTCGTGTTAGAGCTTCGTCTGACAGCTGTCTTTAACGTCTGCACACACACACAGAAAAGACACCGAAATGTCGAAGAAAAACGATTCTCCGATGTTCGTAGCGCAGTTCTGTTGTTAGAGAGCCTTTATTCTGTTGGTTAGCTCCATCGTAACTTCCGTTTGCTGTTCGCAATTAGATTTTTGTAGAGCGAATCGAAGAATGAGGGTGGGATGAGGAAGTCGCTGTCGGACGTAGCGGAACTGGACAGCCTAAGCCTTTAAGGCTCAGCGGCGATCTTACATTTACCACTCGATTTAACATTTAGTGACTCTTGTGTGTTTTTTTACCCCCACGGCGTGTTTATGGGCTCGTGTGTTATTTATATACATTTCTGCTAGCCACATTGTAATTTGTAGTCACTCCATGGAGTACAGTCATTCTTGAGGAGATGAAATTACGTCATGTTATTCAATACAAGATGAATTTTCATCGCAGTGTTCCTGAGCCAAATTAATCCAATCTATACTCTACAAAACCTGTTTTACTTATATCCATTTTAATATTATCTCCGATCTGCGTGTATATATTCACAGTGGTGTCTTCCGTTCTGGCTTTTTTTGGTTAATCCCATATTTTATTAATGCACCTCCCATCTCACCCTAATAATATTTGATAAAGATTGTTCTATGATTTTCTCACCTGGGGTCTCGGGTTCGATTCCCGGCGGTGCCCGAATTTATAACTTGTGTTGGGCAAGGCCGTGGTCTAGGCAACACGGAGTTTTCCTCCGTGGCATCCCAACAATTACTCCATTCACACACAGAAGAAGGCAATGGCAAACCACTTCTGGATCATCTGCCAAGAACGTATATGAACAGGTCCCAGTCCGAGAAAAGGATGGAAGGATCCTGTTCATATGGACCTGTCGTCAGACAGAACACTAATAATAAAAAACATTCTTCCAAGTTCATCGTCGTCTTCGTATTAGACCTTGTTTAACGTATTCGTTTATGTACGCGTGGATAAACAAACATTCAGGACTGTTGGTGGGTTTTTTTTTGTAAAACTTTTTGTGATATTCTATCGAATACGTAGCATTGTGTACTGTAATAAATTCAAAATTGAAGAATGCTGTCTTCGGGGTTGTTGCTATGCCAGACTACACAGCGGAACAACCCAGAAGACAGCCATCTTCTGTGAAAACCTCAAATCGTGTTCAAGAAATCAGTACCAACAGTTCAAATGGCGTAGTTAAAATTACTTGTCGCTGTTATGTGAATAAATAGGGAAAGGTTTCGATGTTGGCCTTCTGGGGTATGACGCTGTGCGTATTTGAAGCTAGGCGTCACCTCAGCGTCATAACCCAGAAGGCCAACATCGAAACCTCGCAACACCGCGAGAATCTAAAATCTCATATACTAGAAATGGCTTCATCTGTGCGTCACCTGCGGTAATGCGAGCGGCGAAGTCAAAGCTTGTCCATTTCTGTAGAAACAGTTGACAGTCTTCTCCCGTCCTGTTCCTGGTGTCAGAGCGTAATTCCATGGCGATATGATCATTTGTGACTCATGTGGTATTGTCTGTTGTGTGCAGTTCAATGTTGGCTATTCATGTGGTTTGTTTGCATTGTTCTCACGGAAGCACTTAGTATTCGTCTGATTATTCAGACTGCACATTCGAGCAGGAATTTGAGCCATGAATGCGAGAGTTTAGTGAAAATGCCCGCATGTGGCTACCGTATGTGCGTTACTATCAGACCGAAAAACATCGTGCTGATTTTATTTTTAAACTTTATGGAGACTGGATTTTTGTTGGCTTAGGGCAGGGACCGGCGGAGGGCTTTTGTTAAAACTGTGATGAACCTTCTGATTCTGTTATCGATAGTACGTTATAACAGTCAGTAAGTCAGAGGTGTTCTGGGGGACACGTTGTATATTTTTTCATAACGTGTTACGTGTTTCGTAATTTTTGCTGATGGCTAGGTTACGTACAGCCAGCCGTATTATATTTTTGTGTTTTTATTTTTTTTTTTTTACGTATAAGACGCAAAACTTCCCTTGTGCATTTTTTTTTCCTTGACTGAAGTGATAGAGAAGGTGCTTCAATTTCCGCTGAGCTTGAAAACTTTTATTGCTACTTAGGGAAATAGGTAACTGAAGAACAGAGCGGGCAAGAGTTATGAAAAGTTTTGGGGAAAACTGTCTGTTGAGCGGAAAATTGAAGAAGATTGCTTATTTTTTCAAGATAACTGGAATCATTCCACACACACACACACACACACACACACACTACATTTCCAAGTACGCATTTCAAAGGGAATTTTTATTTGTTTCAGTTGGCATTTGTTACTCGTGGCGCCACAAGCGTTGCGGGAATAGTGAAAGCCTACAGTTTTCTTTTCCGTCTGCACGTCATTTGTTTTTAATTCACATGGAATTAGTATGTTATTGCTGAAGAGTCAACACCAGTTTTTACAATTACGCTAATTATAGTACTTTCTTTCTGACAACTTTCTAATATGTACAATGTTTATAATGCAACGTGTCTGTTTAGTCTGCGCACGCGCAAGGCCATTTGCGCATTTATATTTGGTAATATGCAGTGCAATTTTATTTATAATTTCTGGGATCTAGAATGAGTTTTTCGCAATTGGGTAAACAGAGTGTGTACGTAACAATGGAGCGAACGCTGTCGTGCGGAATGTATAACTGATGAATATCGGCTATGCCGTGCCGTTGCATGTACCGAGCCGTGACGAGCCGCTCCAAAATGATTTATGGAGTACATACGCCAGGTAAACCGACGCGGAAAGTTTTAGGACACGGATAATTCAGCGCAGAGATAAAATGGGGACTCTCATAGCATATTTTGCGATCCTTATAGCCCCTGTTTTATTAATATCCGTTTTAATATTGTCTTCGCATCACTGGAATTTCGTTATAACTAATTATTAGTCGTAATGTTTTGTCGTCCTAATCAGAATTCCATGCTGGAAGGTTTAATTCCATACCCAATTCCGTGGTTACAGAGACTTAGAAAACATCTCATTTCGCGTTCTTGCCTGGAATCTGTAGTTCAAGGTCATTTTTGGTAACACGAACAGATTGTCTCAAGTGTTCGAGGAATTTGAAACTGTGGCAGTTGGGTTTTCGGATTGACAAAGAGACGTTTTCATGTTTCAGCGTGGCTCCGACGAACTGCTGTCCCAGAGTGGCGCTGTGAGCAATGGTTCAGTGATGAGTCCACAGCCAAATCACTCGGACAACAACAATGACGCCAAAAAGGTGAGTCTGCACCGTTTATTGCCGGTCGATTACTAAATTATTGATGTCATTGACCCCTGTGCTCTGAATACTGCGAAGTTATTTGGCGACTGTGCCGTTGGCACGGCTCGGACTTATGCTCTTTCCGCGATCACTGCGTCTGTTGCCGAGATTCTCAGTCGAAGCGGCACAGCTGGAAAATATCCTCACATATTTTTTTTAACTTTTCAAGTATTCTTTACGCAGAGACTGAATTTTGACGCTAAAATTCACCCAAATTTCCTAAAAAGGCTTTCTTGTAACCTGGTAATCGTGTTGTGAGGATTGATTTACTACGGGATATTTTAAGTCACAATTCAGCGAACCATTTAACGAGTTTAAAACTTTATAAACTGGCATTATTGAAGCTTCTTAAGTTTCTCGTTTTCTCACTTTAAAACTCTCGTTTGCTGTACACGTTTTTAACACAGCATTCACGAATTTAAAAATCGAAGAAGCTTTAAACAGACCGAACGCGTCAGAATTGCTACACTCTGCATACGTATCCTAACGTTTTGACGTTGTAATTGTCGATATTCATATTTTAATAACCCACGATCGACGTTTCGGCACGTAAAATACGAGGTATGCGTTCCCATTTGTGTTCTGAATGATATAAACGCGAAATAAATTAATTATTATGGTATTGATTCGTACTAAATGTTCTCAAGCGGGTTTAATGTCGTTCCTCCATGAAAGCATTAATCGCTGCTTTGAATTCGCCGTTGCCAGTGCATGGTTCTAGCATATTACACCTCGTGGTCTCTTGGCTTCCCACGATCGTCTGGCGCTGTGTCGTGCCATCATGACGGTCTCTCGCGGAGAAAAGAGCCTGGCGGGCTGCCTACGCTACCCCAATTTGGTTATCGAGCGTCCATTTGTACGAAGTGAACGGTGAAGTGTTGTGATTTCTTTGAGGTACGGACTGAATTCTTAAATACGATTTAGATTATCTTCCGTCAAAATTTACCCCCCTCCCCTCAGTAGGAACTTCTAAATTATGTATTAAACTTCCAAATTAATAGCCTCAGCTTTCTCTAATACAAAATTTCAAAATTCCTTCTTTTCTGCAAATTATCGCACTAACGTCTTCACTCTTACTTTATCCTTAACAGAAGGACGAGCGGGCATTGCCTGGGGACCTTCTAACTATAAGATGCTCTTTCT